CCAGATCTGATAAAGGACCAGCGCCACACACACACACGCACACACCAGATCTGATGAAGGACCTGCGTCTGGACACACACACACACACTCCAGATCTGATGAAGGACCTGCGTCTGGACACACACACACACACTCCAGATCTGATGAAGGACCTGCGTCTGGACACACACACACACACTCCAGATCTGATGAAGGACCTGCGTCTGGACACACACACACACACTCCAGATCTGATGAAGGACCTGCGTCTGGACACACACACACACACACACCCACACACTCCAGATCTGATGATAGACCTGCGTCATTCTCTGTTGTGTATATCTGTGCTGTGTGTATCCCCCCAGATGCTAATGCTAAACAGGCTCTAGCACAGCTACACGACAATATTAATAACAGCCTGGCTGCACATCCTGATAGTGTCTTTATAGCAGCGGGGGATTTTAACCATGCTGACTTAAAGACTGTCCTACATAAATTCCATCATCATGTGAATTGTGCAACCAGAGGAGATAAAACACTAGATCAGGTGTATACCAATGGAGCTAAGGCTTACAAGGTCAAGGCATATCCTCATCTGGGTTTGAGTGATCATATTTCACTTATGCTTCATCGCCGGTACACTCCCATCATTAAGTCTGCTGGGCCCGAGGTGAAACTCGCTAGAACCTCTGAGCTACAGGACTGGATGTTTGTAGAGACCAGGAATTATCAACACGGCAGGCCCAGTGAGTATACTGGCACAGTGATGGACTATATACATTTGTGTGTAGACAGGGTTACATCTTGGAAAACGATTCATATCTTTCCTAACCAAAAGCCATGGGTGACACAAGAGGTGCGACTGTTGATTGCAGCCTATAGGTCTGGTGACAGCAGGGCGTCCAGCACAGCCAGGAGGGCTCTTAGAAGGGGCATCAAGTCTGCCAAGCAAATCTATAACAGGAAGATTGAAGCTCATTTCAACACCTTCACTGACGCATGACAGGTGTGGGAAGGAATAAGGGCACTTTCGGATTACAAGGGAACAACATCAGCCTTTGTGAATGGTTCGTCCACTGTGGCGGCAGAATTAAATCAGTTCTATGCACGCGTTGATAGGGAGAACAAGGATGCCCTCCCACGACGATATGTCACCAGTCCTGAGCCTTCATGAGTGAGACTCTGCCTAGGTAACACCAATCCGAGGAAAGCATCTGGTCCGGATGGAGTACTGGGACGGGTGCTAAAGGACTGTGCGTCCGAACTAGCAGGAGTTTTTACCATCATCTTCAACTTGTCACTGTCCAGGTCATGGGTTCCATCATGTTTTAAAGCAGCAACAATTATTCCTGTCCCTAAACAAGCCAATGTCACATGCCTGAATGACTATAGGCCTGTTGCACTTACATCTATCCCTGCAAAGTGCTTGGAGCGGCTGGTCATGAAACACCTAAAAAAGGCCATACCACCAGCCTTAGAGCGGTACCAGTTTGCATATAAGGCAAATAGATCAACGGAGGACGCCACTGCTATGGTGCTTCACCTGCTGTTGGAACATCTAGAGCATAAACACACCTGTGCACGGCTGCTCTTCATTGACTTTAGTTCAGCCTTCAACACAATACGGCCAAATACACTTCTGCTGAAGTTGTGTAATCTTGGATTGAACAAGTCACTATGTTACTGGATACTGGATCTTTTAACCAACCGCTATCAATGTGTGGAAATAGGCGAGCACGTTTCCGACACCATACACACCGGTGCACCTCAGTCCCCTACTCTACACACTTCACACACACGACTGTTCTGCTTTCTTTCCCACTAATCATGTCATTAAATTAGCTGACGACACAACTGTGCTCGGCCTCATCACAGCCAGCAATGAGAAGGCATACAGGGTGGAGATCGAACTGCTAACAGAGGTGTAAGAACCATAACCTGTTACTAAACATCAGAAAGACAAAGGAAATCATAGTTGACTTTCGTAAATCAAACAATCTAGGTCAGTCATCCCTCAACATCAACGGAGAGGCAGTCGAGAGGGTGAAACACTTCAGATGTCTGGGTGCTCCTGTGTCGGAGGATGTGTCCCGGGGCAGGAGCATCAGTACAGCGGAGCGCTGGGCGATAAATCGATTAACTCGAGTAACTCGAATGTGTAGTTTTCGCCGATTTTTTTTAATGAAAATCTGTTCTCTCTTTAACAACCATCTGGGCTCCCGCAGTTCCGACCGGGCTCAGCGCCTGCCATGATAGAGATACACAAACAACATGGCAAATGAACAAGCCCGCGGCAGCAGAAGCACACCCGCCGAAAACATTTACAAACTGAGTCTGCAGGGCTGTCCACTCTCACGAGTTCACTGTGAGACACGCAATTGTCACTTTTTAGACGCTCTCACACACACACATGCATTATCTCACGCAGAGAAACATCGCGCAGCAAAGATCAAGAGCACACTGACACCGACAGACTAGACAGAGCAGGGTACTATTGATATGAAACGGATTCTCAGATTCTGTCAATTTTATTACGAAATTCAAACAATAAACACCGTTTTGACGCTTGTAAATGTGCCGTGAAAGATCGCTGGCAGATCTCAGTTCAAGCGGCGCGTGAACCGATCATCTGTTACTCTTCACTACTAACTTACCCAAATGTAATCAAATCGATCGATCAGTGTTTTTCAACCGCGGAGAGATGTCCATAAAGCAGCTGGAGAACAACAACATACGTCACGTTACATTTACCTCAGGAATGCCTTTTAATGACCCATAGCACGCATGTTAGTTGGACTTAAAATAATTGCGTATTTTGCTAAATATAATAACTATATTACACATTTATTATATTTTTACCTATATCATTAAAATATGATAACGTTGTTTGTTATTATAAAAACACATTATATTTAATTAGAGTTAGTTTTAACCTTTAATAATACCAGCTGACAGGGTCTCTCTGTATGTTTACAGCATTGGGTGATTTATTTTTGGAGAACAAATAACATAACACATTAAGGTAGGCTATCTACTGCACCTAATATTTACCCAAAGGAATTGATATTGAATCAGTATCCAAATCAAATCACAAGAATTGAATTGAAATTGTGAAATTTGTGTTAAGCAATAATAAAAACAGTAGCATACCAGTCTTTGTACCATGTAAACATTGTGTTTACATAGTTAATAAACTTGATAAAATTAGGTTTAGTTACCAAATAATTTGACAATCACAATAAACATTGTGATGCAAGTTTTTTTTTACACATCCCCCAATCCCAATCCACCCATATTATGTTATGTTACATTTACACTATTTACAATGGCTGGGCCTGCCCTCTTGTCTTTTTGGCTTTTTGTTTCTGATTGCACTTTAATCCAGATAATATCCCAGAAGGGAATATCAAAACAAAATAAAGTTAAAACTTGTTTTGAACAATTTCTTTGTCATCTACAGATTGATTTTAAGTATGGAGAGAAAAAAATCGATTTAAATCGTAAATCGGATTTTTATTGTGAAAAAATCGGGGATTTCTTTTTAGGCCATATCTCCCAGCCCTAGATCAGCGGCAGGGAAGCCCAGCGGCGGCTCTTTCACCCGAGGAAGCTGAGAAGAGAGAAACTCCCACAGAGGCTTATGATACATTTGTCCAACTGTGCAGTCCAGAGTGTGCTGACCTATGGGCTGTCGTGTGGTTTAGGTTCTCTAGCTGCACCACAGCTGAACGGCAGAATCATCGGGACTACCCTCCCGGAGACCGCATGTGTGTACACCGCCCGCTGTCTGTGCAGAGCACATCATGAGACCGGCTCCATCCAGCTCACGGCTCGCTCCGCTGCCCCGGCCAGAACCCCGAATGGCCGACCGCCCCTACCCTCGGGCAGCTCGACTGCTGAATGAGCACCTCCTTCTGTTCCCTCATTTACACATCTAACATTATTAACATTACCCAACAACTGCAATAACTGTGACTGGACTGTGCAGCTCTATAGTGGTTCCGCTGGATATTCCCTTGTCTTGTTAGCGGTCTGTTGCGGTGCCTGTGAACAAACTCTTTTTATTGGTGATCTTCTGCACTTTATGAAAACCACTGTCGAGTGTTGCTCTGATGTAATTTCGTTGTACTTGCAATGACAATAAATAATATTAATAATATTTTCTTCAACACTTGCACCCGTTTCAAGGTTTGCGTTCTCAAGCTCTAGACACTTGTGCGAGTGCGCGGCCGGAGAGCGTTAAGGGTTTCTGCTAGAGCGTGTCAATATCTAATGATCTTTACAACGGAAGTGAATCAATCACAACTAACTTTATCTGGACAATAACTTTACTCTTTACACACACTAACACTCAATCACACACACACTAACACTCAATTACACACTAACACTCTCACACACACACTCTAACACTCAATCACACACACACACTAACACTCACACACACTAACACTCAATCACACACACACATTAACACTCAATCACACACTAACACTCAATCACACACACACACACACTAACACTCAATCACACACACACATTAACACTCAATCACACACTAACACTCAATCACACACACACACACACTAACACTCAATCACACACTAACACTCAATCACACACACACACACTAACACTCAATCACACACTAACACTCAATCACACACACATTAACACTCAATCACACACACACATTAACACTCAATCACACACACACATTAACACTCAATCACACACACACACACTAACACTCAATCACACACTAACACTCAATCACACACACATTAACACTCAATCACACACACACATTAACACTCAATCACACACACACATTAACACTCAATCACACACACATTAACACTCAATCACACACACACACACACACACACACACACACACACACACACACACACACACACACACACACACACACACACACACTAACACTCAATCACACATTAACACTCAATCACACACACACACACACACAGAAAGATGAAGATAGATCGATCTCTCACCTTCTTCTGGTACCAGAGAACAGCATCTCGCACTTTAGACGCCATTTACATGTCAAGAGTCTCACGCTGGATCATTCTAGACTGAGAACAGAGGAGGAGGAGATCAGCTCTGACGCACTTCAGCTCCTCTTACCTGCAGCACAGGTGTGTCCCACACACACACACACACTGTGCACACACACTCACTCACCTCGTACTGTACACACACACTGTCACTCACTCACTCAAACACACTGTACACACACTCTTACTCACTCACTCACACACATACTGTACACACACTCTCTCACACTCAGATCAATGAAGGCGATGGATTGAGTAGAAGAACACACACACACACACACACACACACACACACACACACACACACACACTGAGATTGATGTGATTCCGAGTTGAATCACTGAAGCTCCTGCTGTCACATACACACACACACACACACACTATTTACAGCCGCGGGTCCTTATGCAACGAAATAAATAAAACCTTTCTAGACAAATTAACACACACACACACACACACACACACACACATCCATCTGCTGATGTGTAACCCGACACAGAGCTGTGCATGTTTCATGATGTGTGTGTGTGTCTCATCTGATACTGTGTGTGTGTGTGTGTGTCTTTCGGGTCACACTGCTCCATGTGTGTGTGTGTGTGTGTCTCTCGGGTCACACTGCTGCGTGTGTGTGTGTGTGTGTGTTTGTCTTTAGGGTCACACTGCTCCATGTGTGTGTGTGTGTGTGTGTTTGTCTCTCTCTCTAGGGTAACACTGCTGTGTGTGTGTGTTTGTGTTTGTGTGTGTGTCTCTCTCTCTAGGGTAACACTGCTGCGTGTGTGTGTGTGTTTGTCTCTAGGGTCACACTGCTCCATGTGTGTGTGTGTGTGTTTGTCTCTCGGGTCACACTGCTCCATGTGTGTGTGTGTGTGTGTCTCTCGGGTCACACTGCTGCGTGTGTGTTTGTCTCTAGGGTCACACTGCTCCATGTGTGTGTGTGTGTTTGTCTCTAGGGTCACACTGCTCCATGTGTGTGTGTGTGTGTTTGTCTCTCGGGTCACACTGCTCCATGTGTGTGTGTGTGTGTGTCTCTCGGGTCACACTGCTGCGTGTGTGTT